TTACTCTGACGATGGCTTCTCGTGTGGAGCCGAAAGCTCAGAATAGAACTATTGTTCCAGAGATCGCGTCTTCCTCTTCTGTACATAACTATGTTCGTGTAAGCAGAAAAGTACACAAGTTAGTATGGGCACAACAACATTGAAGAAAACAATTTTTGATATAAGCCGGATAAATTTCCTCCAGCACTTACTGCAATATGCAGCATGTAAACTGCCTGAATTTGGATTAGCTCTTGCCAAATGGTCCTAAAAATGCGATCTTATCTTTTTGGGGAGGGGGATGGTTTAATATCGTTTTTTTGGATGGGGACATCAGAGGAATACATGTTTTTGATAAAGCCACGTGTGGAACAATTGGTCAGTGACCAAGAAAGAGGGTCGAGGGAGAGCCCCAAGGCACAAAGGGCCGATTAGTGAGCACCTATCTACCATGTGACATGATCAGTTTGCTACAGAAAGGCTTACTCTCTAGCCAATGAAACAAGGTGCAGAGAATGTGGTTAAAGCATAGCGGGACTACCTCTACGAGTTCCCGGTTGGGGATGAGTGGGTCACGTTCCAGCTCAGTGATAATATGCTTGTCCTCAGCAAACAGGAACTGCGCACGTCGCTGCAGCTGCTCTCGGCGGCGGCTGATGTTTACGGGGGAGAGGATGAAATCAGCATGCGGACGACGATAGACCATGGAGTTTCTGAGCGGTTCGCGATAGCTAACCAGGCCGTGCATGCCACAAAGAAAAGTCTGAGAACAGAGACAGTAACAGGACAAAAGCCAAAGGAATAAAATTAGCGGATTAAAAGATGTGGCATCACTAAAATTGACGGTTTTGCCAAGTCAGCTTTAGGTACATTCAACAGGTGGAACTACGAATTTAGGCCGCCACCAAAATACAGAAACTTGAAATGGGAAGTTCTATGCTCGGACCATCTTCACAACAGCAGTCATTCTCACATGGAGAACAGAGGGCAACAATGAAGTTAGCAGAGGTCCTTAGTTATCCCTAGCCCCAGGATTCTGTCTTACGGGAGTGGTGTTAATAGGGGTTTTATGCTTGTGTCAAATCACAAGAAAGAAAAAATAAACTAAAAAGTAGAGCGTATAAAAACAGAAAATAATGGGATAATTAAAATGATGAATACGAGCAATAGGAAACAAGAACTACGCAAAAGTACTTAAAGATAGGCGCGCAAATAAATCGAAATTTGGAGATTAAAATAAAACCATGAAAGATAGGCTTTTCTCTATTTTCTTAAAACTCATAATAGTTTCTAATGCATTTAGAGAGTTATTTTAGTACGATAAGCCGAAAAGAAACCGTATGTCGTTTCAAAAATTAAACTGAATTAAAAATTAAGCTATCTAAAACTATAATTAAGAGCAAAACAATAAACTGAATAATGAACTAGGAACTTATACCATCAGAATTTCATTTTCTTTCAACAGATAAACAAAGGACTGCAACATTTTGAACCAAAACTGAAAAATTGCACTTACTTGGGTATAGTCTCACTAAAGGATAACCTGAAGGATGTTAAATAACCTAGTACAAATTAAGAGGTGGGAACGTACGATATGATGGTGATTAAGAGCGTTCAAGTTGAGAGGCCCATCAAAGAAGGGGATCAAGCGTTTAACGTCCTCGGAAGAGGGAGTTTCAGACTGAGAAATCTACAAGAAATAAGAAATAAGTTGGTTAATTAAGAAGTTCAGCTCGCTCGAAAACACAACAAAAGACAGCTTATACGAAACATTTGCCCACTACATAGAGGATCAAAGACTATAGTGCTTTGCCTAATTCATGAAATGTGAAGATCAAAGTTTAAGGGAATGGCTTAACACACATTTTAGGCTTTTTATTTTGTTCACTCAAACGACTTGAAGCGCAAAATACTGTTTGCTAGAGTAGAATTCAGTGCAGATTAGTATCTTGAGGGGAAATAGAGACAGAATTTGGCAAAAACCAACGTTACTTGATATCCCAGGAATGTCCTAGGCCAGGGGTCGGCAACCTTTTTGACTCGGAGAGCCAAGAAAGCAAATATTTGAAAATATATTTCAGTGAGAGCCATATAATATATTTTAAGATTGCGTTCAATTAAATGTGAGTATAATAAGCCTCTGAATTTATCGATGGAGGAACCAAAATCAAAAAATCTGAAGTTTCTAATTCCAATTTTATCTGAGAGAGCCAGAGGCAATCATAAAAACAGCCACACCTGGCTTGCGAGCCATGGGTTGCCGACCCCGGTCCTAGGCTATTAAACACCTTTTAGTAAGGAAAATTGGCCCTTTAATTCAGTTTATTCACGGCAATAGGCATTTATTTCGGCCAAATCGGGAGTAGTCTGATATTGAAGAAATTATCTATGCTATTAAGTATGAAAGAACCTAACTTTTTACTAGTATGCATTATGCCATTGAAGAACCCCAAAATAAGTAAGAAATGTTTAAAGCATATTTCTTCCAGAACCGGAAAAGTTAGTCCGGAGTTTCTCAAATGCAAGTAAGGCCAGGTTTAAGGAATCGGTTTTATTTTCAGAAGCAAAAATAATTTCAGTTTTAAAAGTTATTTTTGTCAATGTGTGAAGATTTTTACTACAAAATACAGTAACAAAACGCTATGACCGCATTCTGTTTTACCGCATCAGCAATTTTGGACGTAAACAAAACCACCAATATATTATCGCGAAGACGAAGGTAAAACCAAATCTTATTAAATATAAAGCATGTGGAAATATACTTGTTGTACACTATAAAGTCCTCTTATGCGTAATTTAGAAACAGAACAGGTAGAAGATTAACAATCATATCGAAAACCTAGTATATAATCAGGCAATTGTTTCTGCATTCGCAAACTTAGAAGAGCCTGGAAGTAATCCACTATGGTGGAAAATACTCCAATATAAAGAGAAAAGTTTGTTCTTTCATTTCCAGCTAAGCTTTTTAAAGAGGTTATCTATCATAGAACGTTTTTTTAAATCTTAGGAAAAAAAAATATCAGACTTCTGTTGCGGACGTTCTATTTGCTCGACAATGTGTTTTGATGTTTGGAGGAATTTCTAAACATGGCCCATATAACCATCTTCATAGAACTAATATCGAAAAACTTATTTTTTCGGCAAATGCTTTCAATAAATATCTTACTTTAAAGGTTTCGATATAAAAGTCGAATGGAATATGTATTTATGGACGAAAGCTTGAAGGCTGAAAACGCCCGAAAATATGCCGGAATTTAAAGGACGATATTAAATAAATTATAATCCAATAACGGTAATATGTATAAAAACGTTTGACTATTAAGAGGATTTTTTTGATATAAAGAAAGTGAAATGGTTATTCTTTAAACTGATGATAAGATTTAAATTCGCTGTTCTACTTAACAGCTATTTTTATGCCTTCGCAACCTGCGGATTTTTAAGGAACTTATTTCTTTTTAGGAAACAATTAGTAGTTTTTACATTTATTTTAAGTAAAAAATGTACCTAAGATTGTTCATTATTAGTTTTAAGTTTTCGTAAATGCATTCATGTCGGTATGCGAGCAATGATCAACCTTTCACAAACTTTGGCATTTGCATGCAGCTCTCGCCATACTGTATCCTACCGCTGTGACCTTCCAATCGGGGCAGTCAAGCGACAATCTGGTTGCCTTAGTCCAACGCAACTCAGACAATTTATAAACGGAAAATCTCGTGAAACCATGTTGGCA